TTTTGTTTTTTTGTTTTCCTGCTGTGGTTAGAACATGATTGGACTTGGAACTGAAGAATTGGTTTTACTTGCTCACTGTATGGCTTTTCCCAGGCCTCTTAGTCAAGTTGAGCCCGCATTTCATTATCTCCCAGGGCTGTTGTTGGGAAGAACAATTGAATTATGTGGTGAAGCTACTTTTTAAAGTGAAATATGAACATCAGAGTTTTCTGTTCAATTCAATAGAGTGGCTTTAACACTGTAAGCCATATTGTATAAAATCTCAGCATCCTATCCCCATCCTAACCCTAACCCTAACACCAGAGCAAGGAATGGGTAAAACTACTCCCTTCAAATGAGTACCTCTTGGTACAGGAAGGAGATGAGGTGGTGTGACTGTGATTTGCCAAAAGGCACAGCAATGAGGAGCAAAAAGCAGAAACAAGAAAGCAGATTTTTGCTTCCCAGTTTAATAGCTGGTAGAATTTATTTTATGAGTCTTCCTTAAAATCATCACCCATGAAATTCAGCTTACCTTGATGGGAAATTGAGTAGGTTAATGAAATATTTAAACTGTTCACTTTCTTAGTGGAGCAATGGTTTGAATTCCCTAGAAGAAAAATATACTCTACCCGAATAATTACCATAATAACCACCCCCTCTCTTTACTTTTGTGAAGAATGAGATAGATGTGGTGAGAAGTCATTTTAAATGTTTATCCTTGCTCATAAGTAAAAGAAACTGTCCATTGGCTTAAAACGAGCAGGCTGTCTTGCCTGGTTTAGTATAGAAATAGCCACATGCAGTTAGACACTTTGCTGATAGTTCACTGTCCTGGGTACCACCACATTTTTTTAACTTACTGCATTTTCTCCCTAACATGAAGTACAGATAGTATAGTGATAATTAGCAAGCACACATTTGCACACCGGCAGTGATTATAGCAGGCACTTGTTAAGTGAATGATCTCTAAGTTAAAGCTCCGATTTGGTCTCATCAGCTTCTAATTTTACCGAAGGACAAAAGAGCAACAAGTGGAACCTCAGTTCTCAAACTTAATTCATTCCACAAGGCTGTTTGAGAAGGGATTTGTTTGGAAACCGAGTTATTTTTAACCGTTAGAAATAATGTACATTGAATTAATCTGTTCCAGACCCACAGATGATTCCGTTTTAACCTTTTTAATGTATAGTGCATGTATAATGTATTGTTTAATCTATAAATAAACACTTCTTAAATTTATCAAGCTACCCCTCACAACCCAAAGGAATCCCTTTCAGCACTGGTTCCAGGGGTGTCTTTGAGGAGATCAGGATGCAGATGAGGCATCTTCACTTTTTCACATATCACCGCCTCCAAAGGCTGTCACTGGCTAACTGCTTTCCTTTATCCAAATCAACAGCAATTTTTCTACTTATTCTGTTGCCTTTGATTGTTGTTTTGTGAGCGCTTTCACACCCTTAGCGACATTAGCACTCTTGATGGCCTCTTTATGTTTTAAAATTGCGCTAATCCTCATTTGGCCAGCCACAAAAGCATTCTCTCCTTTGTTTGTTGCCTGAGAGACACTGTTTGCCATGCTGAAGTATCAGCATGAAAGGGTTGTCAGATTGAAAACTAAATTTTTTGTCCACAATCAAGACATTTTTTCTGTGAACATCTCGGTGGAGAACCGAAATGTTCCAGAAGGGAGACATTTGAAAACTGGGGTTGGATTTCCAGATATCTGGTGCTGAGGGTAGAAGTTGTCGCTTTCATCATTATTCTTATGCCTTGATCAATTAGTGTCCCCCTGTCTCCAGCTTTAAAAAAATATCTAACTTCTTAGGTGAGATGTCCTTTAACTTGCTATATGACAGGGGCATTTAAAAAATATTCCTATACGTTCCCTCCATCTTTCCTTTAGCCTCAGAGAGAAAAAAAAATACTTCCCCATCACTAAGCACCCATCCACTAGCATCCTTGACTCAGTCTCCTCCCTTCTCTCAGGCCATGCCTCACCTGGCATTTTTATATTTTCTCATATCTCCAACACTTGCTTCTCTGTTCTTAGTCTGTAATTCCTCATGTTTCTCCTAATTTGTCAGGCCACATCTGCCTTCAGTTACTCTCCAGTTTATACTTTCCGGATCCAAGTCCTGAAAAGTGTTACCATTCTTCCCTTGCTTTCTCCCCATCCACTCTTCAGGCCATTGCAGCCTGACCTCTCTCTACCACCCTGACTCACCAAAGCTGCTATGGATGTGATCACTGGTGATAAGCATTGACAAACAACAACAACCTTATTTATGTTTCTGATGGCATCTCTACCAAAGAATGATCTACACTTAGTAGGTTAAACTTAACTGCAGTATTTCTCTAGCAGTGTCAGAGATTCTAGTGATTATAGACATCGTTTCAAGGATAGATAGATAGATAATTATAAATAAGTACACATACACATATAAATTGTTTATTTTTATGTATAAGTGCATTGAATTACACTCACTCTGCACTTGTAAATTCTAGGGTCCTTAATACAATTTAAAACATCTTTTATGACTTGGCCTCTTAATCTCCATCTTAATCTCTTGCCTTATTTATTTATTATTTATTTATTTATTTATTTTGTAAAAGGAATGTCAAATTACTGTGGATCCTTATATACACAATGCTTTTCTTTTTCTTCTTAAGCCTGTGCTTTTGTGCTTACCCTTTGGGTATATGGAGTTCTCTGTCTTCCTCCATTCCCCTAACTTTTAGCTTTGAATTTCAATTTATGTTTTATAAGTTAGCTCCACCATCACCTCTTCCAGAATGAACTAAGCTAGCCAGGGTCCTTCTATTTGCATAGCACCCTGAGCAAGTCTCTCTCTAGGCACACTGTATTGCTTGTTGGACTCTACCAGATGGAGACCTCGTTCAGGTTTTGTGTTTCTCCTCTGTATCTTTCAAGTGTGGCACACAGTTGAATGACAGATAGTGATATAGATGAATCACCTTTACTTCCTACCAGTAAAGATAAAAACCTTTTCCACAGTCAGCCTAGTCAATTCCTTTCAGTTTTTCAATTTTTACAATACTGCTTTAAAATGTTTAATGCATATCTACGTGCTTCATTTAGCATTTTAAATTAGAAAAGTCAATGTCTAGTTTTTATATGAAAATATCTTATACTATTTTATATTATTATAATATTTATAATATTATAAAATATCTTTTAATTTTATATAATAACTAGAGGCCCGGTGCACAAAAATTTGTGCACTCGGGGGGGAGGAGGGGTCCCTAGCCCAGCCTGTGCCCTCTCGAAGTCTGGGACCCCTCGGGAGATAACGACCTGCTGCCTTAGGCCTGCTCCCGGGTGGCAGAGGGCAGGCCCAATCCCTAGGTGCAGCCCCTGGTCAGGCTCAGAGCAGGGCCGATTGGGGAGTTGGGGCGCCGCCCCCTGTCATGCACAGAGCAGGGCGGATTGGGAGGTTGCGATGCCACCCTCAGTCACACTCGGGGTAGGGCCGATTGGGGGGTTGGGGCATCGCCCCCTGTCACACTCAAGGCAGGGCCGATCAGGGGGTTGGGGCGCTGCCCCCTGTCACGCACAGAGCAGGGCCCATCAGGGGGGTTGGGGGCTCCATACCCTGTCACGCACAGAGCAGGGCCAATCGGGGTTGGGGCGCTGCCCCCTGTCACGCACAGAGCAGGGCCCATCAGGGGGGTTGGGGCTCCGTACCCTGTCATGCACAGAGAAGGGCCCATCAGGGGGTTGGGGAGCTCCCCCCTGTCACGCACAGAGCAGGGCGGATCAGGGGGTTGGGGCGCCGCCACTGTCACACTCAGGGCAGGGCCGATGGGTAGGTTATGGCTTTACCCTGTCACACACAGAGCAGGGCCTGTGGTGGGGGGGTGGGGGGGGTTGGGGCGCTGAACCCTGTCACACACAGAGCAGGGCCGATCAGGGGGTTGGGGCACCGCACCCTGTCACACATAGAGCTGCAGGGCGATCAGGGGGTTGGGGAGCTCCCCCCTATCAGGCATAGGTCAGGGCTGATCAGGAGGTTGGGGCGCCTTCCCCTATCACGAACAGAGCAGGGCGGATAGGGAGGTTGTGGCCCCGCCCCCTGTCACACACAGAGCCACAGGGCAATCAGGGGGTTTGGGCGCTGCCCCCTGTCACACTGATCCCGGTGCCAGGAGGCCTCTCAGCTCCACTGATCCCGGTGCTGGGAGGCCTCACGGCTCCGCTGATCCCGGTGCTGGGAGGCATATTACCCTTTTACTATATAGGATAGAGGCCTGGTGCATAAGTGGTGGCCAGCTGGTTTGCCCTGAAGGGTGTCCTGGATCAGGGTGGGGGTCCCCACTGGGGTGCCTGGCCAGTCTGGGTGAGGGGCTGAGGGCTGTTTTCAGGCTGGCGTGTGACTGAAGCTCCCAACTGCTCCTTTTTTTCTTTTTTTCTTTTTTATTCTGGGCCAGCTTTAGCTCTGGCTCTAGCTCTGAGGCCTCTGTTGCTGAAAGCAGGTATCTGGTTTGTTTCGATTCTATAATCGAAACACTGTTTCAACTCCAACTCTAGATCCAGGCTGGCTGAAAGCAGGTTTCTGGAGTTTTGTTTAGCTTCTATATTTGTAACAATGTTTCAGACTGCAAGCTCAGAGGCCGGCAAGGCAGGCGGGGAACGTTGGAGTCCTCCATCACTGAAGCAAGCAAGCCTCATGTTAGCTTCAAGCTGCCTGGCTTCCGGCCGCCATCTTGGCTGGCAGTTAATTTGCATATCGCCCTGATTAGCCAATGGGAAGGGTAGCAGAGGTACGGCTAATTACCATGTTTCTCTTTTATTAGATAGGTTATCTTATTGCTTCAGTGTTGCTGTCTACATAAATGCAAATGTGGAAAGCTTGTGCCTTTTTACTTTGAATTACCCTCTCTGTTCTTAATCACATCCTTGGATTCTTCTCTTTTGTTTTGCCCTGCCTGCATTTACTTCCTATTGCTTAAAAAGTCTCAGTACAGAAAGATTACACTTGTATTTCTTTCCATTTCAGGAGACTCACCTTCCCAGCTGCAGGCTCAGGAGCCTGGAAGTTCTGAAAATACATTAACTGGGCTGGAAGATTCTGGGTGTGATTTATCAAATGAGCAGAAAACTGAACCTTCAGAGGTGTCTCAAGATTTTGTGGAGAGCTGCACCCCCACACTCTTTCCACCACTGACAATTGCAAAGAAACACTGTGCGACTTCAAAAAATCCTTTGTCTTCTCACATGCAATTTTTGCAACATCTGCTTGAACTGAAGAACTGGACAGAATCAGGGAGTCTTAAAACAGACTTAAGCCACTTGGAGAACACCTCTTCCACGGTATCTGATTCTGTTTTTCAGTTGCTAGAAGGCCTGATCACTTTTTACCGTGACCCAAAATTTCCTCTTTCAAGCTTTTGGACAGAAGCTGTTGCTACTTTAGGTAGACTGCTCAGTGATTGTAATTTATCTAGTCATATTCTTAAAACGTGTTCCAAGAAGTTGGAAGAATTTGAGAAAACTCTACTGCACATTATTTTAAGGAGCAACCATATAAATCGGGTAAGTAGTAAACCTCTTCTATTTATGAAATCTCTAATATATCTGTAATTTTGGTGAACATTCCCATTGGATAATGGCTATTGCTGTCCCTTAGCCTTGTGGCTCAGTTTTTAGTTGGACGTTTTGCAGCTATTACCAGTCATCATGTCCCCATCTCTGCCTCTGATTGCTACAGTGTTGCTGTCTACATAGATGCATATGTGGAAAGCTTGTGCCTTTCTGCTTTGAATTACCCTCTCTGTTCTTTATCACATCCTTGGATTCTTCTCTTTTGTTTTGCCCTGCCTGCATTTACTTCCTATTGCTTAAAAAGTCTCAAGTATTTTTTTTAAAAAAAACCAGTAATATTGATAGTTTCCCAATCTATAACGTCTATGGATTCCCTATACTGTATTGATTTTATTTTCTTTTTTCTGATATTGACTAACAGAGGCCTGGAAGTCAAAGAATATGTTTTTTTAAAAAATATATTTTATTGATTTTTTTATAGAGAGGAAGGGAGAGAGATAGTTAGAAACATCGATGAGAGAGAAACATCGATCAGCTGCCTCCTGCACATCTCCTACTGGGGATGTGCCCGCAACCCAGGTACATGCCCTTGACCGGAATCGAACCTGGGACCTTTCAGTCCGCAGGCCGACGCTCTATCCACTGAGCCAAACCGGTTTCGGCCAAAGAATATGTTTTATCTTCTTTTAGAATTTCTCTCGTAAGTGATATAATACCCTGTGGACCCTCTGCAGATATGGGTTAATTGAATAAATTGGCTGAAGAACACATAATATAGGCTTTATTACAGTTTTTTTTTTCTTAATTTATTGAACATTGCTTAGAAAGGTTGGCTCAGGGATTCTTTTTTCACAAGTGACATTGAGGTAAACTGAAGTGTTTTGTTGTCTGGCTCTTGAGACATAATGGAGAGTTGTTTTCTTCATTACATTCTATTTTCCTCACTATCTGATCCTTTGGGAAACTCCAATGCCTTTACATTTTAATCCTTTTTAATTGAAAGCTGAAAATCTCAGGAAAAACTAAAAGGTCTGTCTAACTTATTAACTTTATTTCACTAGAGGAAAATGTTGTTGGACTTTGTTTTGTTAGCTATATCATTATTGAGTGTCCTCAGCCATTATCTAATGCTCAGAGTTTTGGTACTGTGTTGGCTTTACCTGAATTTTCAAATCTCTGACAAAATTTGAATAACCTAATTTGTTGCATATATATATATCTGTTCTTTCCTTCTCTCTTAAGGTATGATTTAATTAACATTATAGAAAACTTCATGTTGTTGCATATATATATATCTGTTCTTTCCTTCTCTCTTAAGGTATGATTTAATTAACATTATAGAAAACTTCATGATTAACCTTTTGGCATTTGTGAAAATCATTGAATTTTCTGTCTGGCAAACTGATTTTTTGGGGGGGAGCATATTTTTGCTTTCTTCTTTTAAAACTACTTTAGACAGGTTTTGTGTGATTTGGACCCTTTAAGATGTTCTGATTTATATTCCTTATCAGTTACCACATGATGTTTTCAGTCTAGTCTTTCTCTTACTTAAGGATTAAACCACCCAAGATTAGCCATAGGAATTGTATGGAAGTAAAGGAGGGTGGAAGAAGCTTCTGATGGTACAGATGGGTCTTAAGTACATTTTCATGACATTTGTCATGCTGCAAGCCATTGTTGAGTAGTTAGAAAAATAAGTAAATGAATGGCTTTGGTATTTTCTCAAAGATGTAATTTTTGCACTTAGAGAGAGAATTATAAAATAGCACACTGGACTTACAATTAGGATGATGATCTATAAATAAGTTTTAATGACATTTTATCGGGGTTTTTTTTCCTCCCCAGTAAAAGCATCTTAGACTAAGTCATTAAAATTGTTGTCACCCTTACCATCATTATGACCATCACCATCATCTCCCAGTTATGTTCAGAAAGCTTCTTTATTATAACAATTGAATACTGATTGCTCTTTATAAATGCTTTTCTGTCTTTTGTAGCCTTCTTGAGTAATAAGCAAAGTCTCAGAAAGAATATATTTTGACATGAAATATAGGATAGCTCCTATTATTACATTTTTATTGATACTACTCTTGATTGATTAAAACAAAATAGCATAGTTTAGAAAAAATATACTCCTTTGGAAAAACCTATTTGCATAGATTAGAAGTGTTTAATTAAATTATACTGCTTAAAAACTCGAGCTCTGCTATTGATTTCATTTAAGTGAGCTTATGTTTGTATAATGTAATAGGAAAATTTGTGGTGTGAATACTTTAATATTCTTACAGGAATTGTAATAGTTATGCTTTAAATAAAATATAAATCTTCAACCGCATGTTCTCAATACATTTAGTCATAAAATTATTCTAACTTAAGTTTTCTGTAATGAACAATAAGAACTTGTTTCTGTCTGGAAACTGATTTTTTTTTCTTCTTTTAAAACTACTTTAGACAGGTTTTGTGTGATTTAAATCCTTTCAGATGCTCACATTCATATTCCTTATCTGTTACCACATGATACAAAGATGTTGAGGTCATCATTGTGAATATTAGTTATGTCAGGGCTGTCTGCATTCAAGAGATAGGAAGTACCCTGAAATTTGTTTTAAATAATTCCCTGATATTAGCTTGGTTGAAATTATTTGTAAGTTTAGAGGGAAAAATGTGTGATTTGTGAATTTTCAGATATAGATAAATCCTATTTATTTCATGCTATTTTAGAATCTTTATATTTATTTAATAACAATTTTTTAAGGAATTGTTATCTTAGACCAGGGTTGGGGAACGTTCCGGCCTGCAGGCCGTATAAGGCCCACAAAATCCTTTTGGTCTGGCTTTGCCAAGGCATTGGGGTGAATTAATTAAATGTTTGACCAAATATAGCAGGCTAATTTTTAAGTTGATATTTTGTATGGCCGGTGAGTGATGGTCCCCAAATAGTCAAATGGTCCCTTGGCAGAAAAAAGTTCCCCACCCTGTCTTAGACCTACGTCTGTACAGAAGTCACCCCTTATTCACAGTTTTGCTTTCCATTTCAGTTATCTGCGATCAGCCATGGTCTGAAAATATTAAATGGAAAATTTTAGAAATAAGCAGTTCATTGTTTTAAATGGAAAACTCTCCTGACTAGTGTGATGAAATCTTGCCCACCTTGAATCATCCCTTTGTCTAGCATATCCACCTATTAGTCACTTGGTAGCCATCTGGGTTATCAGATCGGCTATCCTGGTATTGCAGTGTTTGTGTTCAAGTAGTCCTTATAGTAGCCTAAGGTAATATCATTATGCCTATCCATGGTCGGCAAACTGCGGGTTGCGAGCCACATGGTCGGCAAACTGTGGGTTGCGAGCCACATCCATGGTCGGCAAACTGCGGGTTTGGCCCCTTGAGTGTGGCCCTTCCACAAAATACCACGTGCGGGCGCACACGTACAGTGCAATTGAAACTTCGTGGCCCATGCACAGAAGTCGGTATTTTGTGGAAGAGCCACACTCTTCCACAGAGCCGCATGTGGCTTGTGAACCGCAGTTGGCTGAGCCACATTTTGCCGACTACTGGCCTACGTCATTCTCCTCACTTCATCTCATCACGCAGGCATTGTATCATCTCACATCATCATGAGAAGAAGGGTGAGCACAGTGCAGTACAAGAGAGAGGGAGACTTCATTCACATAACTTTTATTACAATATATTGTTATAATTTTCTATTTTATTATTATTATTGTTAACCTTTTACTTGCTTAATTTATAAATTAAACTTTATCATGTATTTATAGAAAAACCATAGTATATAGAGAGTTCAGTGCTATTTGTTGTTTCAGGCATTCACTGGGGATTTGGAGTGAATTCCCTGTGGAAAAGTGGGGACTAGTGTATTATGTTTTTAGAATAACCATTAAGTGGGACAAGAAGGTATAATGTACAATGACATATTTGGCATATATAGAAGATATGTGTCTTGAAACCAGATGGCTTACAGAGGTCTACGCTAGGCCTATTATAGGGCACCTGGGATGTAGACTTAACTTGGTTGAGCTGTCCTCTACTTGCAGGCTCCAGTATAGTACCCTTCCTCACCTGCCTGTGTACTTGCTTTGTGTTGGGAATGTTTACCGTAGAGCAAGCATGTCAAACTCAAAGGCTAACATGGGCCAAATACACAAGCTTTAAGTTTTTGTGGACAACAACAACAAAAAAAGCTTCGAGAGGAACCAAGATGGCAGCATAGGTACACAATTGTACTTGCTGCCTCACACAACCACATCAAAACTACAACTAAAAGACAAAATGGACATCATCCAGAACCATGGGAAGGCTGGCTAAGTGGAAATTCTACAACGAGAAGGAAAGAGAAAAGTGCATTAAAGCTGGTAGGAGGTACAGAGGTGCGGAAATGCAGAGGTATGGAGGTGCGCAGAAACGGGCTGGCAACTTGGTACACTGTTGTCTTTTTCAGTCATGAGGGAGTTACAAGCTCCCAATTGCTCTGAACTCCAGTTTTGGGTGAGACTCTGGGAACCCAGACTCATATGGGGAGAAACTGGACTGTCTGGCATTGAACCAGAATACGAGGGCGGCTTTCCCGCAGAGGTGCTTGCAGTGATCATTGTTCCTGCACGGGGCCGCAGGACACAGAGACCTTGGGACCTCTCTGAGGCAGAGCAGCCATTGCGGTTTGCTCCACCCTGATTCCCTGAGACCCCGCCCCACCCAATTTACAACCTCATCCAAACTGTGTGCAGAGGCTTTTGCATATGAATGGCCTGGCCTTTTGCAATCTAAACCTAACAAACTGCAGCTGGGTCAAAGAGCACCAAAGCCTCCAAAAGAAGGCCTAGATAGCAGCCTGCATTGCTTCACAGCCAGGCCTCATCTGGACACTTCCAAACCCCAAACAAAGAGGAGGAATCTGCAGATCTCTCTGTAGCTCCTGCTGGGTGGCCTCAGGCAGTGGGTGACATTGCACCTCCTTGGAAATCCAAGAGCCAGTG